CACAGCTACGTTTGCATCAAAGGACTCACACTGGGGAGAAACCGTTTAAATGCTTGGAGTGTGGACACAGCTTCTCTGAGAATGGAAGTCTACGTGTGCATCAAAGGATTCACACTGGGGAAAAACCCTACAAATGCGCGGAGTGTGGTCAGAGCTTCATTCGTAGTACACATCTACATAGACATCAAAGGACTCACACTGGGGAGAAACCCTATACATGCCTGGAGTGTGGAAAGAGCTTCACTGGCAGTGGACATCTACGATTGCATCAAAGGACTCACACTGGGGAGAAACCCTATAAATGCTTGGAGTGTGGACAGAGCTTCACTCGTAGTTCACATCTACATAGACATCAAAGGACTCACACTGGGTAGAAACCCTATAAATGCCTAGAGTGTGGACAGAGCTTCACGCAGAGTTCAAGTCTACATTCGCATCAAAGGACTCACACTGGGGAGAAACCGTTTAAGTGCTTGGAGTGTGGACACAGCTTCACTGAGAGTGGAAGTCTACGTGTGCATCAAAAGACTCACTCTAGGGAGAAACCCAATAAATGCTTGGAGTGTGGACAGAGCTTCACTAACAGTGGAGGCTGTGCATGTGGTAAGGAGAGTAGACCTGCCTAATTTCTCTCCTAACTGCAAGCACGATTAAAGTCTCAAAATCCCATAAAGGGTCATAAATCTCTCCCTAACTGGGGTCTAGACCAAAAGAGAGGAGTCTGGGCAGTCATGAATGAATGTGACTAAAGCCATAAATCTCAGAATACAAACAGAAGACTGGGCGATAGTAAGTATGGCTGATAGAAAGGGGAAGAGGGAGGAGGAGGAGGAGGAGGAAAAAAAATGAACAAGATTATAACCTCTTTGGAACATCTTAAATTTATGGAGACAAAGACATCTAAATAATTTATCAATATGGGTTAAAGAAAATTACTATAAGTTAGTATGGTACCTTACACCAGTATGAATAGCAAATATAAATAAAAACTACTCAAAAAATTGCTGGAGAAGATGCCAAGAATCAGGAACATATGTGTGTGTGTGTGTGTGCGTGGTGGCTATGTAAATATGTAAATTTTTTGGGGGGAAAGTATTTAGAGAAATAGAATATATAATTAGTATTAAAATAGAAAGAAGTCCTAGAATAGCTTTATTATCATTATATAATAATAAACAATTGAAAAAGAGGATAAATATGTGATAACAAACTTATTAACAATAGCAATACTGCTTATAGCAAGGAATTGGAAAAGAGAAATAAATATACAAATAGAGGAGTGGTACAAGGAAGTATGGAAATTGGCAATAAATGATAAGCTGACAAACCCAGCCATAGGTTTTTAAACATCGTTGTTTTACTGTTAATGTTTATTGCTTATTTTCTGTTATGAGTTTTATTTTTATTGTTTTGTATTACTTGTTATTTATTTATTTATTTATTTATTTATTCCAGTTACTTATACCCCGCCCTTCTCACCCCCGAGGGGGGACTCAGGGCGGCTTACAAACAAAGGCACAAATTCGATGCCTGTCAAAATATATAGCATATATAAAACAGTATAAACATTTAACAGAATTAAAACACATCACTACATCTATATCTATATCTATATCTATATCTATATATATAATAAAGAAGAGTGTTTGTATCGGACAGAATTGT